ATGAAGTTCTGGTAGTTGTCCATGATTGGGTCATTGTGTTCGATGATTGGGCAGGCCCACTGAGCTGCTGATGCCTTTAACAGGCTTAATATGAAGGATACCTTTGAGCGGTCTGTGGGGAAATGCCGCCGGTTGGATTCTCACGAACAACTGACATTGAGCTATGAAGGTTCTCATCTTCTTTGAATTCCCTCCAAATTTTTCTGGCAAACTCACCGGGTTTGTGTGCAAAACGGGTGGCGCTACTGGAGTCACTAGAGTGGGTGCGAGGTTTATGTTTTGCACCCCTTGCATCAGTTGATGTACATTTTCTGACAAGTTCCCCATGTCATTCTGCGTTCTATCCTGATGCTGTAGATTGGCGGCCGTTAACCCTTGCTCTGCTGCTGCTGCTTGGGGGAAAGTCGCCATCCCGGTCACCGTCCTTGCTCCTGGGGAGTAAATGTTAATGAGATTGGGAAGATAAATGGCAGGTGTGAACAACTAGAACCACGCTGTGAAAAGTTTAAACTAGCTGCTTTATTGTTCCTTAGATACCTACAGGAATCTTCCCAGATTGGTCGTTTCCTCCTGGGAAAGACCAGATAATGTTTGACAGCATTCAAGGAGAATTGGACCTTCCTCTCTTGTGTCTACAGAACAATTCCAGGCTAATTCCCTGTTTGACCCCTCCACCCGACTGGCTCAACTTTTGGTATAAATGGTTCGTTCCTACTGCAAACAAGATGCCCTCCCGGCTTCCTAGCTTACATCCTGGCTTCGTTGCTGAGCTCCAGAGTCCTCTTGCAAATCCTAGCTCCTTCAGAGGATCTCTAGCAGTGAATTTCTTGGGCCTTCCCATTCTAGGAGTGTTCTTCGGGTGTGAGGTTTGCAATCCAAGTCATAAACACTAGAGGATTGACCCCTGCAAAATACAGGATGTCTTCAATCAGCCATTTTCCTACTGGAAGGCCTAATTGGGCTCTAGTCTGAAAACACTTTATTAAACTCCTCCGCAACTTCTGGGTTTTGCGTTGTTGTCTTAAGCTGTGGATACAGGATGAATACAAAGCATTCTTAAGCAAGAAAAGCCAAAAGTGCACATATAGACTGAGTGAAACCTGGCTTAATAGCAGTAACTGTGAGAGGGATCTCAGAGTCTTAGTGGATAACCAATAGGAGCTAGCAGTGTGCAGCAGCGGCCAAGAAAGCTAATGCAATCCTAAGTTGCATTAACAGAGGGATACAATCAAGATCAAGGGAGGTACTAATACCACTCTATAAAGCCTTAGTAAGATGACACCTGGAGTACTGCATCCAGTTTTGGTCACCACACTATAAAAAAGATGTTGAGACTCTAGAAAAAGTGCAGAGAAGAGCAACCAGGATGATTAAAGGACTGGAGACTAAAACATATGAAGAATGGTTACAGGAACTGGGCATGGCTAGTCTAGGGAAGAGAAGGACCAGGGGAGACAGGATAGCAGTACTCCCACAGGGAGAGGCTGCCACAGGGAGGTCCCTTGGTCAAGCTATTTTCCAAAGCACCCAAAGGCCAGACAAGGAATAATGGATGGCAACTGAACAAGGAGAGATTTAACCTGGAAATAAAGAGAAACTTTCTGAAGTGAGAACAATCAACCAATGAAACAGAAGCTGCCTTCAGAAGTTGTGGGAGCTTCATCACTTGAGACTTTCAAGAAGAGATTGGACTGCCATTTGTCAGAAACTGTGTAGGATCTCCAGCTTGGGCGGGGGGTTGGACTAGAAGACCAATAAGGTCCCTTTCAAATCTGTTAGTATGTTAAATCTGCTATTTTGTGCTGGCTGGAGAATTCTGGGAGTTGAAATCCCCAAGTCTTAAAGTTGCCAACTTTGGAGACCTCTGCTTTTAGCACTGTTGGCAACTTCTTTCGAAGTTGCCAACGCCTCTTTTCCTAGAGCTGAGCGACTGTGATTAACCCAATTTTGCCAAATTAGATGCCCTGAAAAAAGGCAAAACCAGAAGTTTACCATTTCTAGCCTGGTACCTTTCAACATTACACAAAACTGCCCCTCTAGAAAAAAGATTGTTAGCCCTTCCTTTCCACGACTTTAAAAAAAAAAAGGGAGGAAAAAAGCACACACGTTTGAAAACCCTCTGCTGCCCCCACTCCCTTTGCAAGCGCAAGGAGAACCAAATGCACAAACTGAATTTTATCTTAAAGCTCACAAAGCAGAAGCAAGTCAAATGTCCCCTCTTTTATTCTCTTGGGTTCAGTTCCAAGTGGGAGGGAAAAACACTGGAAACATGGAGGCTGTTTGGAAAGATGGCTTAATGGTGGAGAGGATCGCTTGCCTTGGTGCTCTTGAGTAGATAAAAAAGGGCAGAGATGCTGAGAATCCCTGGGTTTTATGCCCTCTGTTGGGATTTGAATTTGAGCTTGTATTTTGATTGGTTGTCAGACTCCATGCAGGGACAACTCGGTAGGCTGTCCTGAGTCCCAGGCTTGGTTGAGCCTTGCTGGATGATGATGTAATGAAAGGGCTTTGAGCAATTCCTATTATGGCTCTACCTGGAGTAGAACTGTGTTATGTAGAATAGACTGGCCCAGACTTTAATGCCCCATTAACAAAGGTGGGTGGGGGCTGAGTTTCTGCCTCTCTGAGTTTCTACTTTTCTTTTGGTGGAAATATTCTGCCTTTTTAGTATATCCTAAAATATTTCATTTTTCTAGGAGGGAGGTATGTTTTAACTTCCAACAATTCTTTGGCTAAAATATCCACACATGCAAAAAGTACAATTATCAACCAGGTTTTTTTTTTACACACTACAGTATTTAAATTTCCAGGCATTGCCTAATCTCCAGTAGGAAACTGGAAACACTCCCTATCCCAATCCCCACGTGTTTCTAACTGGTGAAGCCACAGCTGAACTCCAGTGTAATGTGGATAAACAACCTGGGATGTTGTCTTCCTGTATCCCATCCATCTCTTCCAGAACACAAAATACAGAATAACAGAGTTGGAAGGGACCTTTGAGGTCTTCTAGTCCAATCCCCACTCAAGCAGGAGACACTATACCATTCTGGCTTTAAACAGCGGTCTCCAACCATGGCAGCTTTAAGACTTGTGAACTTCAGCTCCTAGAATTCCCCATGGTTGGCTGGGGAATTCTGGGAGTTGAAGTCCACAAGTTTCCAAAATTGGAGACCGCTGACTTAGTCAACCCTGGCTAAGTTGTGTGTGCAAGTTGTGTGTTCAAGTAATTAATCAAAGCCATCCCTCTCCAAATAGCCTTGGGTAAACCAATCTCCCTAGACTGCCTTCTAGCACACCCTTGTGGGTAATTGCCAAGCAGTGTCTTAAAGTTGTCAAGGTTGGAGAACTATGGCTTAAAGACCCTCAGCTTCTGGTGTTGTCACTGTTCCACTGATTAATTGTTATAACTGTCTGAAAATTTCTCCTTAATTCTAGGTTGCATAAAAGCCAGCTGATTTTTTAAAATAGTCACTTCTTCAGCTTGTTGTACCTTTCTCTGGGTGGCTTCTAATTGCTCCCAGACATTGTGGAACGTAGTGAGAAAGACCCATCCTCTACTAGCTGACCCCTAGTCCTTCCTCTCTCTCATTACAAGAAATTACACTTAAGCACTGCACCAGGAATTGAATCTCCAAAATGTGCCAACTTATGCTGGCATGACATCAGTTGGGTCACCCCATTTAATATTTGAGCCCCTGGCCTCCAGATATTTGTGCGGGGCCACCAGGAATATAATTCCTGGCCACGATCTCCTTCCTTAGCACATTTTCTTCCCCACTATCAGGCTATGTCTCTGAATCCATCTTCATTGCCGATTATGTTTTGCAATGTATCAAGGCACTGATCAAAGCAAAGGGCAATTGGTCCTTTTGGATCCAGAGACAATAGGCACAGCAGAAAGCAAAGGGGTTATAAACTTTATCATTTGCTCAAGCCAACAAATTTAAAAGTATAGCATAAAATGTATACATACCAAATAAGATACAACCAAATCTCTTACAGGCTGACAGGAGGTCCTTAATAATGACAGCAGAGATACTCCAGAGATGGCCAGTTTCCACAATACGCAGTGCTAATCTGTGCAGAAGCTACCAACAAATAACCTCGAAGTTTTTGTCGAAACCTGGCACCAGGACTTTAGTCAGGAGAGAACCAGACCTGACCTTGACTGTCTGGCATATGATTCTAGGGTGGAAATCGAAAGTCAGAGACTTTCACATTGGGAAAAGCTTTGAAGCTATGTGAACATCCCTCCCTCTTCTCCTTTTTTTGACAAACAAGGATGAAAAAAAGCCGAGCAGGCTGGCTCAGAATGAGCTCTAAAGTTCTAGGTTTTTCTTAACTTGAAGGAGAAATCAAAACATATCACTAAACTTCTCGAAATAACAGTTGTCTTCCGCATTGACACTATTCTGGGAACATTTTGTTGTACTTCTGGATTTCCTCATACAATCCTTAAAGATGAGATGACCCTCAGAGCAGTCTAAAAAGCAAATGGAGGATCACATTTGAGCAATAGGTACAGTGATGTACTTATGGCATTATTTTTTAAAAATGTAATCCACATAAATGTACCAGAATTATAAGAATTGGGAGGGCTGTAAGTGCTGCTAATTCTACTCCCCAAACATTCAAGACCTGCTTTCCAAGAATTTAATCCATGATGTAGGTCTGCAACACATTCTCATCACTGGAAGAGTGTAAAAATAAGTTATATATAGCTATAGCTCGGACAGGAAGAAAAGGCGGTGTCACTATTGGGGAGAGGTGAGAAAAAAAACGTAGAACACGCGCACACGTGTCCTTGAGGAGTTGCTGGCTTTAAGGGAAAAAATGTGGGACACACACACACGTGTGTGTCACTGGGTGCAAAGCGCATCATCGCTCTAAGCGCATGCGCGATTCGCCGCCGCTTTGCCGCTGCTGTCATGGCGCTCGCCGCAGGAGCCGCGTCGGGGCGGAGTCTTTCCCTTGCGTCACGCGCCGCCTCCTCTTCCATTGGTGGTTGCGAAGTGACGTTTATTTTCCGTCTTTCCCGGAAGAGAAGCGGCTTTCTTCTTCATAGCTGGAAACGTTGGAGATTCGCGCAGGTAATTGAGACGCGGGTCCGGAGGGGAAGGGAGGGGAGGGGGACGGGACGGGACTGAAGCGCCGTTCTTACTTCCTGCCGCTTTCTGGCTAATGCCGAGGCCAACGTAAAGCCCTCAACTCACTTGAATGTTTTGTTTGAAACTGTCTCTTTAAAAGTGTGGGGGAGGGGCAGTTTCACTTTAAGTCAGAGGTTGCCTTCGACCATTGAATGACCTCGTCCCTGCTGGCATTCTCTCTCTCAATCCATCTATTTATCTCGTCTATCTAATCTATCTATTTTTTTTAAACGACTCCATAATCACCATTATCTGTCTGCCTGTCTATCTATCTTCTTTTAACGATCCCATAATCACCATTATCCATCCATCATTTTTCTAATGACGCCATAATCCCCATTATCTATCTATCTAATCTTTTTAATGACCCTATAATCTCCATAATCAATCAGCCTCTATCTATCTATCTATCTACCTACCTACCTACCTACCTACCTACCTAATCTTTTTTAATGAGCCTGTATTCCCCATAATGTATCAATCTATTTAATCTTTTTTAAAGATCATATAATCCCCATAATCAATCAACCTTTGTCTGTCTGTCTGTCTGTCTATCTATCTATCTATCTATCTATCAATCTATCTATCTATCTATCTATCTATCTTATCTATCTAATCTTTTTTAATGAGCCTATATTCCCCATAATCTATCAATCTATTTAATCTTTTTAACGACCATATAATCCCCATAATCGATTATCTATTTAATGACCCTATAATAAACTATCTGTCTGTCTGTCTCTCTCTCTCTCTCTCATCTATGGTTTTTCATTTAATAATATATTTATGTTAATAGTTCATTAACAAACCATGTCAATAATTACCGATTATAAAACTAAGACAGAAAAAAGATGTCGCCAACTCACTAGGTTTGGAGAAGAGCGCTACCTATTGATGTGTTGGACTACAATTTCCAGAATCTACACCAGTGTTTCCGGAAGTATGGGAGTTGGTCCCCACATCTTAAACATTGCCAAGTTTGAAAAACACTGATGACTCCCTCTCCGCTCACCCTCTCATTTTGGGAAGCTAATTACAGTAAAGGTTAAGCTCATGAAAACATCACTATGATTATAGAGTTTTATTGACAATGGTATGAGAGTAATTTTCTGTTATCTTCCTTCCTTCCTTGACTACTACTTAGTTCAGTGTACTCTGGGGTTTCCTGGTGGTCTACCATCCAAGGATTAAGCAAGCCAGATCCTGGTTAGCTTTAAAAAATATATATATATGGCATGGGTAGGGAATTGTCATTCACTGTGATGCTAGTATGTGCTTCATTTATTTCATGATTCCCTCCTCCAGTTGTTTCGAAGCAAGAACCCTATGATATCTCAAAGATGCTTTTTCAAGAGGCAACTGGACTTTCTGGTTTTTTTTTTAAAGACGTTTCGCTTCTCATCCAAGAAGCTTCTTCAGCTCTGAATCATTTCCCCACAATCCAGTCAGAGCTGATAAAGCACCTTTAGGACAGCCATGACCTAGATCAGGGATCTCAGGGACCACCAAACTTAACTCTCATGACCACTAATACGAATCCAGCGCGCCACTCGCTGAAGCGCCTGGACTCCCAATGGCTGGATGGGGGTCCTTCAGGCACTTAGCTGGGCTGCCTGTTTCTGCAACCTTAAATAGTCAGAGTCCTTTGGACCTGTTTCCCACAGAAAACAAAACACCGGGATCTCTCATCTCTCTTTCTCTCTCTCTCTTATCTCTCTTTCTCCTTCTCTCTCTCTTCCCCCCCAACTCTGTCCATGGGGGTGCGTGGAAAGGAACCTCTGAACTAGCGCTGTGTGGTGGGAATCTGATGTCCGGAGGCCGACAAGACCATGTGCTGAAGACCAGATGGCTGGCGGGGAGATGTGGCAACAGGGGTGATACCAGCGGCGGATGGACTGATAAGCGTGGGAGATCGCGGCATCGGAGCCCTTCCCGGGTGTTCCCTGGCCTGCGAAGGGGTGGGAGGAAAGGACCCTCTGAAGTGGTGTTGTCTTCTGCCGCCTCCTCTGGCAGCCGCCAAGCCAGCTCCTTCCTACTGGGCATGTGAGTGCTTCTGGCAAGGAGGAAGCATGGAGGAGGCTTGGCGGCTGCCAGAGGGGTGGTGAGCGCTTGGTGGCTCCTGAGGGGAGGGGTCGAGTCTCCCCCTTGCAACATCTTCCCCTGAGGGCGTCTCTGGCAGCCGCTTGGCCTCCTCGATGCACGGAGGCAGGACGCAACACCAGTTCAGATCTCTTGCGTTGCTACTCTCCCTCCCCACATGCATCAGTCCAGCCGATATCACCCCTGTTGCAGACGGGTGCACTGCGGACCACCAAAATTTTATCATGGACCACCAGTGGTCCGCGGACCACTAGTTGGCGACCTCTGACCTAGATGACTAAGACTCCATAAATCCTGTGATATATATTGATAAAACAATAAAAGTCATTAAAAACAACCCTGTGAGGCAGGCTGAGCCGAGAGAGGGGGGGGGAGGGAGGGGTGTGTGTGTGTGTGTGTGTGTGTGTGTGTGTGTGTGTGTCTTCCTGGCATGACAAATGATCTGTGGGAGGACTTGAATCTGGGTCTCCCAGGTTCTAGTCCAACATTTTAATTACTCTTCCATGCTAGCAGCATAGTAATAAAATACAACCTAAATAAGTTTTTTCTTGATATTTAACATATGAGTTATAATACATCAGAAGAAGCATTCTATATTTGATTTGTAGCGATGTATGGATGATATGCAATGATTGTCAGCTTTTGAATTTTTTTTTTTGAGGACTTTTTTGCAATTGATTTTTTTGCCATTTTTTCATGATAAACTTTGCAGACCCATTTTCTTTTCTTTACAGTGATGCATTTATTGTACATTTTCCTGCTCTTTAGTCTGATACATTAATATGCAGTTTTAAATCCATCAGCTTCTAACGGATTACCTCAGGTTTGCTATAGTTATGGCAATCCTTTTTTCACTAGCTGGTACACAACTCAGGTGTAGATAAACCACCTAGGACACATAAATACAAGCAAGCTATATAATTAACTGAAAGCGTTGTCTCAGGGCAGCCACCCATCATTGTTGTTTTCCTCAAAATGCAAATAAAACTGGAATGCTACAACTCTCTGTAACTGTAACTTAGCTTTTAAAAACCACACCTGTATAATTGTATTTTAACATATGAAAAGCAAAACATTTGAACTAGTTGTGATCTAGAACCCCAAAATGGAAGAAAAAAAATGATTCCTTGCCATTTATAATAAAAAATAGCAAATTGTTTTCCTTGGAGAGAAATTAGAGAGCTAGGGCACTATCATCCCTTTATAAAGCTTTGATTGGCTTCGCTAAATGTCTATGGATGCCAACCAGTCATCCAGGTCATAGTTGTCCCAAAAGTGCTTTTTCAAGAAGCAACTGGAATTTCTGGTTTTTTTCTGAAGATGTTTTGCTTTTCATCCAAGAAGCTTCTTCAGCTCTGACTGGATGGTGGGGAATGGAAGGATTTATACTCCTTGCAGACAGCTTTGCAAACAGTTTTGTGGAATACACTTTAACTAAATCAAAAGTCATTGGTTGTCAGAATATCACTCTGAAATCTTTAGTCCAGATTTAATCATTTTATACCATACCAATAGGCAGGCAGTGGCCCAAGGTGTGTTTGTTTGTATGTGAAAGGTCAACAAAGTAGCCATAACCATATAATGGGAGCTCTGCATCTTTTTATCTGCATTACATAAAAAGCAAGTAGCAAAATTCACCTGGTCACCTCCCCATGGATTCCTCTGTAATGGCCTGAAACAGCATTCACAATATTTGTATTGCAATTTAAATGCTGAAGTTTATGCATTTGTAAATAAAGTTGACTTTGTTAAAAATTAAAAAAAAACACTGTCCGGTCCACTATTTCTTATACAATTGAAATAAGCTGAATTCAAGTGAGTGGAGCTCTTAGTTAAAAAAATATATTATGAAGCGCTCTGTATTTCTAATTACTGTATTTTTCAGGCTATAAGACGCACCAGACTATAACACGCACCTAGGTTTAGAGAAGGAAAACAAGAAAAAAAATAATTTTTGGGCTCCGCGAGTCCCATTTTTGCCCTTCCTGGCATCCAGAAGCACTCTGCAGCCCCAAAATGGGGTCATTGTTGGCCTCCCAAACCCTCCGTGCATCCAGAAGCATTCTGTGCTCTGCAAAAATGAGCCCCTTTTTGGCCTGCAAAGTGCTTCTGGATGCCAGGAAGGGCAAAAATGGGTGGGTGTGGCTTAGTGGGCATGCTTTGCATACGTGCACACACTTTGCGTGCACGCGCGTGTCAAATGTGCGCTTTGCGCAGGCGCCTGAGGTGTTCTAACTCGCCTCCTGCAAGCCTGCATGATCCCAGTCGCTTCAGCAGCTGCCACGCGGTACTCTTCTGTGGCGCGCTAAGCAGCTGCGCTTCAAATTCAAGGGATAAAGGTGAGTATGGGAGCCCAGGCGGGCAGGTGGGACCAACAGCAGAGCATTGGAGAGAATTGGTTCGGTCTCCGCTGCGCATCGCTGCTACCTGCCTGGCAAGACTGGGCAGAACCAGTAGAATACCACCACGGATGTGGAGGGTTTTGGAGGCCAAAAATGACCCTGTATTTGTTCTATAAGACGCAGAGACATTTCCACCCACTTCTTTGGAGGGGGGGAGTGCATCTTTTAGTCCGAAAAATATGGTATATCTTGCAATGAAAATACAATGTGCTTGATTTAGATTTAGTTTAGTACCTAATTATCAGAATCTATTTGAGGACTTATCCATATCCACTAGACTAGGTGCTTTAATGAATGCTAACATACCCTATTATGTTTTGCTACTTTGCTGTTGTTCAACAATATCTGATAACAAAAAGTAATTGTCTGAACAAGTGCATATTATGGTACATGGATAGTTCCTGATTTATAACCATTTGTTTATTGACTACTCAAAATTACGGTGACTGAAAGAAGTGGTCCTTAAAACTGGTCCTTGCATTTACATCCATTTCAGCATCTGGTATGATGAAAATTTGGGCTTGTAGCAGTCATATGATCAAAATTCGGGCGTTTGGCAAACAGCATGTATTTATGGCAATTGCACTATCTGAGGTCATGTGATACCTATTTGCACTTTGGGGTGGGCTTCTAATGAGGAAAGTCAATGGAGGAAACCAGTTTGCTTAACAATCACTTGATTCACTGAAGAACTGCAGAGATTCACTTAACAACCATGACAAAAGAAGTCACAAAATCATGCACGATTCCCTTAACAACCGTTTTGCTTAGCGACTGAAATTCTGGTCTCAGTTGTGGTTGTAAGTTGAGGATATTTAAAAGGTTTGCTAGGTCATACCAGCTTAAGCTGATCATGAGGTGTGAACGCAGGCCAAATTACTTTCCTCAGTTCTGGTTCAGCCCAAAGGCGTAAGACCAACTTCCAGAATCCCCCATCCAACATGGCTGCCACCCCGAGGGTTATGGGAGTTGAAGTCCAACCTATGTATAATGAATGCTTCAAGATGGAGGAGGTTGCCATGCATAGTGATTTGGAAAGTGCGTGGTTCCTCCCTGAATTGGTGAGGGGGAACCTTGCCTACATAATGGTTTCAACCTGTTGTATTTCTTCCTCCAGCACAATTTTCAAAGCACACAACGAAGAGCCATGGTGTGCATTCCTTGCATCGTCATTCCAGTTCTGTTGTGGGTCTACAAAAGGTTCCTCGAGCCGTATCTCTATCCCTTCATCTCTCCTTTCGTGAAGCGCATTTGGCCCAAGAAAGCAGTCCAGGAAACGGCAAAGTGTGACCAAAAGAACAGCTCTGAAAATGGAGGCGATTTAGTGAAGCAGGATTCCTTCAACGATCAGCCAGAACTTTGTAAAGTAAGCATTACCCAGGTGAAACATTTGTGTGTATGTTTTGAGGGACCCCTTTAGAAATGGATAAGAATAAAATAGAAACTTCGTTGATTTAGTCATTTGACTGCATCAAATATATGAAATTAATGCAGGCAGTCCTTGACTTAAGACTGTAGTTGAGCCCCAAATTTCCACTGCTAAGTAAGACGGTTAAGTAAGTTGTGCCTCATTTTATAACCTTTTTTTTTTTTGGCCACACTTAAGTGAATCATGCAGTCATTATGCAGCCATCCAGTCATTAAGTGAATCTGGCTTCCCCCATTGACTTTGCTTATCGGAAGCTGGCTGGGAAGATTGCAAATAGGGATCCTATGACCCCAGGACAGTGCAACTGTCATACATGCCGGTTGCCAAGTCCCTGAATTTGATCACCAGATGTGGAATAGAATGAATGAGTTGGAAGGGATCTTGGAGGTCTTCTAGTCCTGCCCCCTGCTTAAGCAGGAGAACCTGAGCCTTGGTGGTACAGTGGTTAGAGTGCAGTACTGCAGGCTACTTCTGCTGACAGCTGCCTGTAATTTGGCAGATCGAATCCCACCAGGCTGAAGGTTGACTCAGCCTTCCATCCTTCTGAGGGGGGTAAAACAAGGAGCCAGATTGTTGGGGGCAAGAGGCTGACTCTGTGAACTGCTTAGAGAGGGCTGTAAAAGCACTAAAAAGCAGTATATAAGCCTAAGTGCTATTGTGAAGGGAGGGAAGGAAGGACCAAGTCAGGGTGGCACAGTGGTCAGAATGCAGTACTGCAGGCTAACTCACTGCTCACTGCCAGGAGTTCGATCCTCACCAGGCTCAAGGTTGACTCAGCCTTCCATCCTTCCGAGGGGGGTAAAATGAGGACCCAGATTGTTGGGGGCAATAGGCTGACTCTGTAAACCACTTAGAGAGGGGCTGTAAAGCACTATAAAGCAGTATATAAGTCTAACTGCTACTGCTATACCATTTCAGATAGGTGACTGTCTAGACCAGGGTTGTCAAACTTAACTTCACTGAGGGGCACATCAGGGTTGTGTTTGACTTTGAGAGGGGTGGGGGTTGGGTGGAGTGGGAGTGGCCAGCTCAACATCACTCACGTTGAGGGCGCCTGTGGTGGCCCAAGTGCTCCGCCAGAGAAAACGGGCTCCCAAGCTCCATGTTTGGTTGCAGTGGCCTCCTGCAACCCTCTGCCAGCGAAAACGGAGCTCGGGAAGGCCACATGCAGCTCTCCCAAGCTCCGTTTTCGCCGGAAGAGGCCTCATGGGCCAGTCCTTTGCTGTTTCCAGGGAGGCCCCATGGGCTGGATCCAGACCATGGACCTTAAGTTGGACACCTCTGGTCTAGATTATTCTGAAAAACCTCCAGTGATGGAGCACCCACAATTTCTGAAGGCAATTTCTGTTCCACTGGTTAAGTGTCCTCACTGTTAGGAAATTTCTCCTTAATAACAGGTTGCTTCTCACCCTGATGAGTTTCCATCTATTGTTTCTTGTCCTGCCCTCCTATGCTTTGAATAATAATTTGACCCCCTCTTCTTTTCATATGGCCATGGGGATGCTGCAACATTTGTGTGAAAATTGGTCATAAGTCCCTTTTTTTCAGTGCTGTTGTAATTTCAAACGGTCACTAAGCTAATGGTTGCAAGCGAGGACTATCTGTACAATATTCCAACAGGTGCAAAGAAAACAATAGGATCACAAAATGGATAGGTGATTCATACGGGTTTGCTAGTGGCAAACAGGTCTTGCCTGTTTCATGCAGTAATTCGATTAGACCATTTTCTCTCTCTCTCATTCCTGCATGAGCCAGGCATTCGTTGAAGTATAGCAACATCAATAACGCTTTGACTTATATACCACTTCACAGTGCTTTTACAGCCCCCTCTAAGCAGTTTGCAAGAGTCAGCCTCTTGCCCCTAACAATCTGGGTCCTCATTTTACCCACCTCGGAAGATGGAAAGCTGAGTCAACCTTGAGCCAGTGAGATTCGAACTGCCAAAATTGCTGGCAGCCGATGATCAGCAGAAGTAACCTGGGTAGTACTGCTTTCTAACCGCTGTGCCACCACGGCACTTAGGTATCCTGGAACAGGGGTCTCCAACCATGGCAACTTTAAGGCTCGTGGGCTGAGGAACTCTGGGAGTTGAAGTCCACAAGTCTTAAAATTGCCAAGGTTGGAGACCCCTGTCTTGGAATATACCTAAGAAAAGGAAACTATTCATTTTGAATTTTGCTCCGGGATGAATTTAAACTTGAAGGCTTGGCAATGGTCTCATTCACTACCTCTGGTCTCGTCTCTGCTGTTCTCATCTTACACATAAATCAGTGAATATTCATAACGGAACGGAGATAACCTCTAAGTCAAGGCAACACAAATGCTGCAGAGAATTGCACAAAGCTTGGCCTTGCAGTGGTCAAAGCCCTGAATTTACTGTACAAATGTCCTGTTTAAAAATGCTTGTGTGAAAGCAAATACCGTTGTGCTTTAGGGTGAGGATTAGTAACATGGGGCCTATAGGTGCCAGGATGTCTGACTGTGCCTAAACAGTGCTTGCCATCTCCAAAATAATACTATTAATATTTAACCACCATCATTAGTATCATTAACAATTAATTATTAAATAATATTAATAATTAATAGTCCATGGACTGAGTCACTGTTAATTTTTTTTTTTTTATAATGTCACATATGAGCCACATTTCTCCCCCATTTTGTAAATGGTTTCAATTTTAGGGTTTAAAGGGATGAACTGAGAACCATAAGCTTTGTTGAAGTTGAAAGCCCTCTGCGCTCTGTCCCATCATCCCAGCTCATTTTTCCTAAAATGGAAGCTTAAAAGACAAGATTTTTTTTTAGTCAGTTTCACCCACCAAATAAGCTGTAAAATTACCTCACTCAGGTCAGGTGACATCACTGGGCCTGCTTCATGTAGTCCAACACTGCTCCCCCCACCTCCAAATATAATCTTTGCCTGCAAGGATGTTATCTTCTGTGGTTTTAAATAGAATCCCAGTGATGGACATATGTGGCTGCAGGTGAAGTGGCTTAAGCATGTTGTAACTAGTCCTTGACTGATGACCATAATGGAGCCTGGAATTTCTTTGTAAGTCATGATGATCATATGTTGAGGCACCCACAGGACGAATCTGATTTTACAACCTTTTTCGTGTTGGTTGTTAAGAGATGCTGCGGCTGTAAAATGAATGCAGCAGTTGCTTAGCAAACTTTGGCCATTAAACAAGTCAAGGCATTCTCACAGGTGGCAAAAAAACAGTATAAATCACATCAGGTAACCTTGGAACACTACACCTGACGACACAGGTTAGGCAGTTTGCCAAGAGCCTGAAATGTGGTTGTGAGTTGTGGGTTTGCCAACCGTTGGAATTGGTTCATAAGTACCTTTTGGAGGGGAGGTCTGTCATGACTTGGAACAGTCATTAAGCAACCAGTCATTAAGCGAGGACCTTTAAATAATAAAAAAGTTATAACTCTAATCAATGATAAGTCCCACTCGGCTTCCTTCCATCCCCAAGGCTATCTTAAGCATAATTTAAAACGGGTTTCCAAACCCCAGGCTGCGGACCATTACTGGTCCGTGGCCATACAACTGGAAGTGAAAGGCAGGTGAGTGAAACGGCTTATGTGTAAGAACTACCGGTTGCATGCTCCTTACCCTACCCTCGGCCTGGCCCATAGAAAAATTGTCTTCCATTAAAACAGTTCTTGGTGCCAAAATAGTTGGGGAACACTGATCTAAAAAAGAACTTGATCTTTCTAGAACCAAGAGAAGCATCTTAGGGCCAGCTAGTTACTGTTCTGGTTTTTGTCTTTCACATCTGTGTTGGAATGAATGTGCATTTAAAAATCTCTATTTTTCTCCCTCCCTCCCTTTCGCCCCTATCTTTCAGACCAAAAGCAATGGCATTGCAAATGGATTTTCTGGAATTGGGCCCAAAGAAGACTCTGACAAAAAGATGGATTAGTTACGCTTCTGCTACGGGATCAAGGCTGTTATAGGAAATGAACTCACAGCGTTGTCCCCACATGGATATTTTACTGATTGCACATTTACCTGAATGGAAATTTGGAATATGTATAACCCATCACCCCAGGGAGACTTGGAATAGTTCTAGCTATGTCCTTGAAAATAGTTTTAATATATTGTCTTGCTGTTGTTGAAAATTGGGGTGGCTGGAACCCTAATGTGCTGTGCAATAGAAGAGTGTTAACAATTTTAGTGTCCATATTTTATTAAAACCGTAACTGTCAATTTTGCTACTTGTTTCAAAAAAAAATCCTAAAAACCTTCGTTGATGATGATCCATAGGTTTGTTTGTTTTTTTGAAGCAAAAGATCATACTCACAGTAGCTAAAAAGAAAGCAGCATTGTAAAACTTTGAACACTAATGGTGTATGTATTGATCGCTACTAATTTGCTGTTTCTAAATTAGCATCTGCAGAGCTGCCCTTTTGCCGATTCCTCACAAAGGTATAGAAAACTTTTTAAAAGCAGATATTTTTTGGTGGGGGGGACAATACCAATACAATGTCACAAAGGGAAAATATCCTTTTTGGAAGTTTTTATGCAAATTCCTGTATTTTGGTTGATCATGTCTACCTCCCTAATTAGAATAACACCCAAGACTGCCATAGCAGCAAATAAACCTTACTGTTTATTGTTGTAACTGTATTATTTTATCTGCCGTGTAGTTTTTCAATTGGTGCATTCTAAGATCTGCGTATGTTTTTCATGAAGTCATAGGGAAGTTCTGTCTCCCATATGAAGTGAAGATTGCACTTTAGGATATGCCCATGACACCTTTTCAATTCAAGACAGATGGGTGATTGGAAAAAATTCTCTGGGGTTAGAGAGTTTATTGTTTATCTGAGATCTGTGTTAGTGAATAAGGAGACTACAACCCTTTGCCTAGGAAAAATGCAAATTTAACTGATTTAGAATTTGAATAAAGTGTGAAAGCAATATACTGTATATATTACATTGTCTGCCCTTCCCTTTTTTATATACCAATATTAGTTTAGTTTACTAGTAAATTAGTTTTTAGTAAATTAGAAAAAGCTGGATATAATTTGCTTACAAGAAGTACATATTAAAAAACAATAAATTATTGGAATACCCCAAAATTGGGAAACTATACACCTCTCTGTTGCAACATAAGAAGAGAGGAGTAACTCTATATAAAAGAAACCATAAACACTAAGCAAACAATTATGGATGAAGAAGGGAGGATTTTAATGGTGGAGATAACAATCATAAACAGATACTCCTGATATAGGAATTTATGCACCAAATAGTAAACAAGGGCTTTTATAGTAAACTACATAAGAAAATAGAATTGGAGTATGAAAATATTTGTGTAGTGGGAGACTTCAATGCAATTGTACTGTAGATGCGGAACTAGATTATAAAACCAGGAAAGTGAATAAAAAAGCAAAGTGAAAGTGAAAGCAATATATATATATATATATATATATATATATATATATATATATATATAATGTGCTGAGTCCCAATTCTCTCCCACTCCCCTTTTTTGCATGCCAATATTAGTTTAGTTTACAACTAATAAATTAAGTTACAAAAACAGCAGTTAAAGGGAGCTTGTTGTCTATGTTGCACTCTGGGAGTTGAAGTCCATACATCAGGGGTGTCACTCACATCGTTACGGTGTGGTCGTGACGTAGCGGGACTTTTTTCCCCTTCGCTAAACCGGGTGAGGGCAGGGCCAGCACATGACGCTTCCGGCTGGCGGGCCGTGAGTTTGAAACTCTGCTCTGGCCCTGTATTGAGTAAGTGCCATTCAAAAGAGCTAGATTTGCTGCAGCTATAACAAGCATTTCTGGAATTGGACAAGTGGACAGTATGTGTGTGTGTGAGTTAAGAAATGGCAAAGCTTACACATTTGTACAGCGCACAGATAGTCCTCAGCTTACAACATTACAACTTTAAGGACCATTCAAAAATATAAACCACTGAAAAAAAACCAGTCCTTGCAATTGTCACAGCATCCCCTCATGATCAGAATTTGAGCATATGGCAACCGGCATATATTTATGACATTTGACCCTGGGAGAACATCTTTAGCTTGATCCCACAGGGCTGTCTATGGAGCTTCTCAGTCACTCAGGCCATGGTTGTCCCAAAGGTGCTTTTTCAGGAGGCCACTGGACTTGTTTTTTTTCTATTGAAGACAATTTTTTGCTTCTCATCCAAGAAGCTTCTTCAGCTCTGACAGGATATTGGGGAATGGAAGGATTTATATTTCTTGCAGACAGCTGGTCATTTGCATCCTTAGGTTTATCTGTGTCATCAGGGTCACCTGAGTTAGAGCTCCTGGTTCCTGTAGTCTGCAATTTTTTTGTTCTCTGGAAATGCATTCCTAGTCTCACGACATTCCAAGGATGTTCATCCCAAATTGTATATCTGTAGAGGTTCTCTGTCATCCAGGTGATGGTTGTCCCAAATTTCTTGTTTTTTTCTTTTTGCTCCAATTACCCTCTAAACTTAAAGGAGGGGTCTTCAAACTTTAAGACTTGTGGACTTCAGCTCCCAGAATTCCTCCTCCAGTCATGTTAGCTCAGGCATTCTGGGAGTTGAAGTCCACAAGACTTAAATTTCCCAAGTTTGAAGACCCTTGCTTAAGAGTCTAAAGCAGTGGCCCCCAACCTTTTTTGTGCCATGGCCCAGTACCAGCATCACAAAATGATCCGTGGCCTGGTACCGGTATCAGCACGCATGACAAGGCAAGGCGAGCCGAGCGACCGGCTAGCCAGCCGTCCCCCGCTTCTCCCCACCACCTTCAACTCCTCCTTTGTACCTTTGTTGATGGGCTTCGCTTCGGGACGGCTTCGGGACGGTCGCTCGGCTCGCCTTGCCTTGGGTGCTGAAAGAATCCTCGTGCCTTAGTTTCGTTTGAAGCCCGCCCCCCCTTCGATGAAACTAAAGCGCGAGGATTCCTTCAGGAACCAAACACCGCTTTCCAACTGGAAAAGCTCACCCGGAAGCACTTTCTCGTCAAACAAGATGGCAGCGCCCAGCAAACTGGCGGCCCGGTAGGAAATATTCCACAGACCGGTACCGGTCCGCGACCCAGTGGTTGGGGACCCCTGGTCTAAAGGATGCAAATTACCAACTGTCGTCAAAGGATATAAATCCTTTCATTCCTCACTATCTTGTCAGTGCTGAAAAAGCTTCTTGGATAAGAAGCGAAATGTCTTCAAAAGAGGGGGGGGAAAAAGTAGTCCAGTTGTCTCCTGAAAAAGCACTTTTGGGATAACTATGACCTGGCTGACTGAGAATCTCTATGGTCCCAAAGATGCTTTTCAAAAGAATAGAATTCATTACTGGCCAAGTGTGATTGGACACACAAGGAATTTGTCTTGGTGCAAATGCTCTCAGTGTACATAACAGAAAAGAGACATTCGTCAAAAGTCAAGAATCATAAAATACAACACTTAATAATAGTCACAGGGTACAATAAGCAATCAGCTCATACTAGGAAACAGACAATATAAATCGTAAGGATACAAGCGACAAAGTTACAGCCGTACAAGTCAGAGGGGATCGATGATAAGGAGTGATGAGAAGATTAACAGTAATAGTAGTGCAGACTTTGTAAAGAGTTGAACAGTGTTGAGGGAATTATTTGTTTAGGGGAAAATTTGTTGGGGGAAAAACTGTTCTTTTTTTCAAAAGACAACTGGACTTTCTTGGGAGTTTTTTCCTTGAAAACATTTTGTTTCTCATCCAAGACCTGAAGCAGCTTTTTGGATGAGAAGTGAAACATATTCAAGGAAAAAAACCAAGAAAGTCCAGTTGCCTTTTGAAACACCTTTGAGATCCCACAGGGTTGTTATGCTCTGTGTTGTGTTCACTTGTAGGCAAATTAACTTTTCTTTTAGTCGCATCAATTTGTCCCTCTGTGAAATGGGCTTCCCCTTCAAAACATGAGTTTGCTTTGACATAGAAATATTTAAACAAGCGACTTTAACTCCGCAGGTAGCCTAGGAAACAAGGCTTCTGCGTAGGCGGACCAGGAAGGGAGGAAAAAACACTACGGAGCTCAGGAGGACTTCATTTCCCGTCATGCAAGCTCTGATTTACGTGCCTGGGCGGGGCCTCGAGGGCACGTGATCTCCGCTGACTCGGCCCTTTCCCCGAGAAGGGAAAGCGGTGACGACGTGAAAAGATGGAGATCGCCGACGGAGGGCGTGGCTAGAAACGGTCGCGCGCAGAGGGGGAGTGGGTGGGAAATCCGGGCGACGGGAACGCGCAAGGTCGCAATTTAGCGGTGGGGACGCGCGACAGGTCCCAGAAGAGATCCGGAGGGTGGGGGGTGCGCAGAGAGTTGGGGGAGCAGGGTGCATCGCCTTTTCCTTCCCCCGGGAAACCGGAGCCGGTGAGTCGGCACCGCCGGAAAGGGTTGCTAACGGGGCCGGGTGTCCTCTTTATGCCCCGCTAGCCGCGAAAAGGTGGGGCGGGGGAACGTGGACCATTGGGGAAGGGAGCGAGTCGGGGAGACCGGGGCTAGCAAATGCTTTGCTGCAGGGGAAGAAATCCCGGTGGCCTCCCCCCCACCCCACCCCCGGCGGAGGTCTTACATCCCCAGAAGCGCTAAGCGAGCTATGTGGGTCCAGACGTTACTTGGCCAACACGGGTTTAATGCTTCGTGAGCTTAAACCGCGTGTATTTTGCACGTGTGGATGCATTCCCTGTTTAACCCAACCGTGCCTTAGGGACTTAGGCAGACTCCCCCTCCAGTGCAGGGTAGCCCGTGGGGGAGAGGTTTGTTGTTAAACCTTGCACAATTCCAAGTGTGCATTTGACTTCCCTTGGGGTGTTGTGTCAAGCCAGGCAACACTTTATTGTAAAAGCCTGGGCCCCGTTTCTTGGTTATATTGATATTTATGGTCTTAATTTCTTTTGCCCTCTGAGAAGTAGATAAAAATATGAATTCGTATGTATGTATGTATGTGTATATGTATATGCATAGGTATATGTATCATAGGTATGGTGCCTGTCCAGGTTTTAACTTTTTATAGGTACGTAGGTTGACTGCCCAGAATTACTTGTCTGAAATGAGCGGCTATAGAAATTGAATAAACAAACCGTGGTGAAACAGCCACTTAACTGGGGTTTGATGGGATCAGTATTTCAGATAGGGTAGCTTGAGTTAGTCTGGAGTAAAATGGCAGCCTAGGTTGATACAGGTAGTCCTCAAGGTACGATCACAATTGAGCCCAAAATTGAGGTTGCTAAGTGAGAAAGTTGTGAGTTTTGCCCCATTTGATGACTTTTATTGCCCCATTTGTTTAGTGAATGGCTGCAGGTGTTAAATTAGTGACATGGTTGTTAAATGAATCTGGTTTTCCCCATTGAATTTGCTTGTCGCAAAAGGGGAACATATGACCCTGGGACACTACAACCGTTATAAATATAAGTCAGTTGTCAAGCACCCAAAAGTAAATCACATAACTATAGGGATGCTGAAACAGTCATAAGTGTGAAAAATGGCCATAACTTAGTTGTAACTTTGAATGGTCACTAAGTGAACTGTTGTAGTCGAGGACTATTTGTACTTACTTTGTATTCTAGGTTCTCTTTGAGCTCTGTTCAAAGCAAAATATAAGTTGCTGGTCATTGACCCAATGGTGTTTTTCCAAAAGGCAAAGAAAAATAGGAATGTTTTTGTTTCTTATTTAAGAGTGAGAAACGAAACATTTTCAAAGAAAAAAAAACAAGAAAAGTCCAATTCCCTTTTGGAAAAGCACCATTGGGACAACCTTGACTTGGTTGAGAATCTCCATAGACATAATTGTCACTGCTATAATCAGTTCTGTTGGGATTTGATCTCACTGGAGAGCCCAGGGCTGTCCTGCCTCTGAAAGGTTAAAGGTCACATGAATGTAAACATAATCATCAATCCCAGAATGATGGTCTTTGGGGAAGGCCACAGTATCCATATCAAGGAAAGCTAAATTGCAAATTGAATTTAGAATCAGAAGTCACAACTCAGGCAAGGCTGGCTGGCTGTGAGGCAGGTTAGTGGCCTCCTTTGCATTACATGCTAAAACATAATTGGTTTGAAGTTAGCCTATTATATAAATAGTATGGGTTGTAAATTTTTTAAGTTAGATTTTCAAACCTGGCCACTAGTTTAGTATGCTTTGTGGACCCAGTCAGTGCCAATTGTGAATTCAAATGCTAGTTCTTTTCTCCAAGCTACGTCCACCTAGATCTGGGAAGTCATATATCAACCCTAAATATAGAATAACTGCTACAGAACTGTGGCCTCATTTTATGGTGTGGCTTTTGAGTATTCTGTGTGTAAATAAAACTACAGAGAAAAGAGATTTTCATTGCAATTAGATTCATATACCTCAAAAGTCTAGATAAGATATGTAGAAATAATCCAGGACTGGGGGCATATAAGGTAAAATGTTATTAAGTTCAGTGAACTCAAAAAATAACCAGACCATGGAACTAATTCTGGAAAATTGAATTAGTTTGTGGTGTGAATTCAATTGTTTTGTTGTGTCATTGAAGCTGTGGGAGATTTAATTTCCCATCCTGGTATGCAAATCAATTTAGTTAACCCCAAGTTAATGCGAAGGCAATATATAGCCATGATTAAACAGAGAAATCATGCTTTTGCTGAAATGTAATTGAAAGAAGTACCCTTATACCACAGGTCTTTCCTACCATAAAAGAATAAAATAATTTTTGGGAACCTATATGTAGCCTTGAATCTGTAAGAGTTAATTGTATAAAATAGGTACATGTGTGTTAAATCTCTGTTATCTTCCTGTTAATTTATTTTTGTTTTTTATGTATTTGTATCCCACCTTTATTATTTTTATAAATAACTCATGGTGCGAACATATCCAACACACCTTCCTCCCCCTATTTTCCCCACAACAACAATCCTGTGAGGTGAGTTGGGCTGAGAGAGAGGGACTGGTCCAAAGTCACTCAGCTGGCTTTCATGGCTAAGGCAGGACTTGAACTCAACATCTTCCTGCTTTCAAGCCTAATGCCTTAACCACCAGATCAGGGCTGTCAAACTCCCGGCTCATGGGCTGGATGCGTAATGCGCTGGCCACGCCCATGCCCAGTTTAGCGAAGAGGGGGAAAGTCCCGCTATGTCATGTGACGCCACCGTGATGACGTGAGTTTGACATCCCTACACTAGACCAAACTGGTTACTCTCCCTCCCCAATCAGGTAAGAAATCAATTTCATCCCTCTGATGATGTCACTTTTACGACCCATATAATCCTAAGCCATTCCAGTACTGATTGAAAAAAAAATATATGCTCCTGGTTCCTCAAAAGTTGCATGCTCTGTGTTCAATCATTTTGTGCCATGTGGATTTTTCAATTTATTTAGCATTTGGGATATCCTATATGGACTAGCAACATAACATTTCACCTAGATTAGAAAAACAATAAAATATAAATGTTAAAAAGAGCTATGTTCAAATACCAATGTCTAGGCCACTAACCGCTGAAGCATAGCATCATTCTCATATCTGTATCTCTGTCTCTCCCTAGCCATCCATCCATCCATCTATCTATCAGATACTGGACCAGTATATGCCATCAGCTTACCCCTGGTCATGATTTGATTTATAGTTCGATGTGAGATCCCGCAATCACACTGAGGGGAGGATGCTACATCCCTTTTATACTGAGAGTCTCAGCAGACACCCTGTGAGGTGTGAATCCTATTCAGGATTGTTCGTTGCTGATGTGGTAATTCAAAGATTGACATCTCTTTTGTGAGTTCATTTATATGTCTTCCTATGCTCCATATTCCATATCCATATTCCTAAGGATTACTATATGCCAACTCTTGTATGTAATGTTTGTCTTCTGTAGTATTTATTCTGTTTTTCTTAATAGTGGGAAAAAGCAAGTTTTTAAAATTCTCCTTGATCACCCAATGCTTTTTCCTGGATGGTTAGTGAACTATTCCGAATACAGTCTTGAAAATATAAAACAGTCTTCATAGTATCGTATGCTGCTTAGTTATTTAAATTCTCCTTGATCACCCAATGCTTTTTTCTGGATGGTTAGCGAACTATTCCTAATACAGTCTTGAAAATACAAAACAGTCTTCATAGTATCGTAATCTACAAGGTTGCTTCAACATTTATTTAAATGTTTTCAATCTTTTGTACATTTCTTTCTTTGTGACTTGCTATGTTTCTGTTGCTGCCAATTCCTTCTTTCAGATTCTTTCTAGAAATCTTTATTTTAAAATTTAAACATGAGGTTTAATATGAATATGCCTTCACTTAGGAGAAAGTGTGACATCTGTGTTCTTACAATCTTATATCATCTGTTCCGAAGAGAGATTATGTAAGGAAAGAGTTTAGTCACTTGACAATTAGTCTAAACAGAAAAAAGTATCTGATTTTACACAGTTACTTTGCATGTGGCTTCTATGAGACCAGAATTCTTTTGCAGTTATGGTTGTGAATTGTCTAAAAATAGCACTGCCTCTTAGATTATTGATTTCATCATTTACCTAGAATCCTGATATACAGGATTATGTGTAATGAAATGCCTTAAAATTTTGTATTATATCAATAGCTTTATTAGATTGATTAAACAAAACAGTATGCAGCTATTTTCACCATGACCTGTATACCTCTTTTTCAGCTACGCTACCATAGTGCTACAAGTAGTCTTCAACTTACAACCAGTTGTTTAGTTCAAAGTTACAACGGCACTGAAAAAAAGTGACTTATGACTGTTTTTCCCACTTAGGCCTATTGCAGCCTTCCCATATCAAAATTTGGGCATTTGACAGCTGACGTGTATTTATGAGAGTTATAGTGTCCCCAGTTCATTAGATTGTCGTTTGTGATCTTCCCATCTGATTTCTAACAAGCAAAAAGTCAACGGCTGAAGCCAGATTGGCTTAACGCCTGCATGATTCATTTAGCAACGGCAGTGGTTTGCTTCACTGTTGCATAAAGATAATAAAATGGGGCACCACTCAGTTATCAACTGTCTTGCTTAACATTTTGGGCTCAATTGTCAAGGACTACCTCTATTTTCATGAGGGCTGAAAAGAAGTAGAGAATTAATTTTGATTGTAGAAATATATATAACTAGCTCGATGCCCATGCTTTGCTACGAAACTATGTGGTCAGGCTTAGTTTTTTGGGAGGAAAATAAGAGGGGAAAAATTCTGCCTCTGCCTACCAGCATCCAATCGGTATGCATCTGGCTAGCATCCTGTCAGTGTGTGTGAGAGAGTTGAGGGCTGCTTGGAAACTGAAGCAGTATTTGCTGTGTGAGCAAGAAGGAGACAGCTAGGAGTCTGGCTGTGGCTTAGCTCAACTATTTAGTACAGAACTTAACTGTTCTGTACTAAAGCTGCTTGGTGC